TATTTGAATTGTCCAGGACCCTGGATGCCTAGGGACTGAGTCATGCAGGACTCTGAGGGAGGTATTTTTGACAGGGGGTGGCTGCTGGCCTCCCCTGCATCCTCAAGCAATGCCCAGCCCTGCTATCCTGCACCTTCCCCGCCCTCTCAGAGACTGTGGGGGCTGTGATGACTGGATCCAATTAATCAACCAGGCCCCTTGCTGTTCCAAAAATAAATATGCCAGAGAAGGGGACACCAACAGAATGTGCACCATCGTTCCCCCTTCCTCACTCTCCAGCCCTCCACTCTCTCCAACTGCACACAGTGTCCTAAGCCTCAGCCCGCAGATGCAGGCTCCCAGCCCACCACCCTCCAAGAAAAACCCATCTCCTCTCTGCTTCTGGAAAGGAATGAAGAAATGAAGTCACTGTGTGCTTGTGCTATACTGGCACGGCTGCCTAGAGCTGCCTGAGCCGGGCCTTAAAAATATCTCCCCAAACTAGCATGCTGTGGCCAAAGCTCTCTCAATGCTCAAATCTGAGCTAGGGGAACAGCTGTCTCCTCCCAGCCCAGCCCGCTGAGAGCATGTTTCCTGAGATTCACAGAAAATAAAGCACTTGCCCCATGGACAGCACCCAAAGGCAATCCTGGTGACAATTCAAATGTTAGCACCAATGGCTTCTGGGAAAAAAGAAGAAAAGAAGAAGAAGAAGAAAAGAAGAAGAAGAAGAAGAGGAGGAGGAGGAAGAGGAGGAGGAAGAGGAGGAGGAGGAAGAAGAAAGATGATTAAAAGACACATACAGAGGCCATTGGGGGTAGGATTATTACTATAAGTACTATAATTATTACTGTAAGGAAAGGAGGACTCCATCCATCTTATAAACACAGACTGAGACACACGCACACACATTTATAACTAGGTAGGCTAGAGAACGATCTACGATGTCAACAGAATTTCTGAGATGTATTTTTGAAGGACACTTCAGAGCATCTGAATGAATAATTACCATCACTGAGCAACATTACTATCAAAATAACACCACATGCCAGGTATTGTGCTAAGCACTGCTCAAGAGGTAGTATGCCTACACAAAGTGAGTAATCAATCAGTCTTTATTTGGATGTGTGGGTGGGTGGATTAATGGATGGATGGATGGATGGATGGATGGATGGATGGATGGACAGGTGATACATGAGCAGGCAGATAGGTGGATAGATGGATAGATGGACAGGTGAATGAGTGGATGGATAGATGGTGGGTGTCAGTCCATTCTGCATTGCTATAAAGGAATACCTGAGACTAGGTAATATATAAAGAAAAGAGGTATATTTTGGTCCATGGTTTCTGCAGGCTGTATGAGAAGCATGGTGCAGGCATCTGCATCTGGTGAGGCCTAATGAAGCTTCCAATCATAGCAGAAGGCAGAGCGGGAGCTGGCATATCCCATGGTAAGAGAGGGAGCAAGAGAGATGCTGGGCTCTTTTAAACAGCAGTTCTCATATGAACCAACAGAGCAAGAACTCACTCATGACCACAGGGAGGGCACCAAGCCATGGTGAAGGATCCACCCCCATGACCCAAACACCTCCTACCAGGACCCACCTTCAACACTGGGGATCACATTTCAACATAAGATTTGGAGGGAACAAATGCAAACCATCTCAGTGGGGCGTGGATTTATGGATGAATACATGGGGAAAAAATGATCTCTGCTCCTCACAACAAGGTTATAAGAAATAGCAACCGCATTTTACAGATAAGGAAATGAAGCTCAAGGAGATGATCCTGCATCTGGTCAGCAACTCCACAGGAATGTGAGCCCACCTTTGAAGCCCCTGCTTCCTGTTGAAAAAAGCGCTTCATAGCAACCACCAACAGCTCCAACAGCTCAGTTATTAGCCAGGCACTCTGTGCCAGGCAGTGTTCTAAGAATTATTTACATGTCTTTTGTTGTTGTTGTTGTTTTTTTTTTTTTTTTTTTTTTTTTTTTTTTGAGATGGAGTTTCACTCTTGTTGCCCAGGCTGGAATGCAATGGCGAGATCTTGGCTCACCGCAATCTCCGCCTTCCAGGTTCAGGCCATTCTGCCTCAGCCTCCCAAGTAGCTGGGATCCAAAGGTGTGCACCACCATGCCCAGCTAATTTTGTATTTTTAGTAGACATGGGGTTTCTCCATGTTTGTCAGGCTGATCTTGAAATCCCAACCTCTGGTGATCTGCCCACCTTGGCCTCCCAAAGAGCTGGGATTACAGGCATGAGCCACTGAACCTGGCCTAATGTGTCTTAATTTAATTGATCCTCCAACAACCTTTAGGACATAAAGCTAGGAAGATGAGGCATAGAAAAGCTAAGAAACTTTCTCAAGGTCATCCTACAATTAGGGAGCCACGTTGGACTCAAATGTCAGCAGTGTGACTTCAGAGCCAGGGCTCTCCTCCACTCTGCTACCTCTGAGAGGCCAGGCACAAATGACAGGTGTGTCACCTGGAGGAATATGCTGGGCACATGGACAAAGCAGGGAGGCTGCTGAGGGGCTAGAGGAATTGCTGGATCTTGGAGCTGGCTGGGTGGTTGGGGAGAAGGGGAATGGCCCTGCCCTGGGGCAGGTCTCTCTCTGCCCGACAAAGGCCAGACCTTAAAGAAGCAGTCATGGCACAGCCAGGATCTACCCGTAGGGTCTGGAACTGTCTGGGGTAGTGGGAAGAGCACTGAATTCAACTCGGAACACCTAGATTTGACCTGGGCCCTGTGAGAGACTTCTCACCATACAGGTGGACAGACAGGATAGGGTGACCTGTGAATAGGGAGGCACTGTCCTAAGAAATGGTCACAAGAAAGACAGAGGGGCTGCCAGCTGCCAATCAGAGGAGGAAAGGGAAGAAGGTACCTGCTGAGATGAAGGCTTCACCCCAAAACCTCCCTGTTCCTGGGGCCACAAAGTGTCCCTAGAAGCCAGGCTAAAGGGCAGTAGCCACAGGCTGGGGCATTAGGCAAGTGGCAGAGTCCCAACACCTCAATTAACAGGATCCAGGCCCTAGGGGTTAGACTAGAACCTCTATAAGCAAGGGAGTGAACATGACTTTTCCATAACTGCTCTGATACTGCAATCCCCCAAATTCCCAGCCAGCCACCACCTCCTAGAAGCCCTCCAAGAAGTGACATCCTTCCTAAGAAGAGGAGGCCCATTTTCCATTTTCTTCCTCTCCTCCATCCATGGGGGTCACATAAGAGATTAAGTTGTCTCTGCTGAAACCTACAGCAGAGAAAGCTAGGGGCTGAGATTATGCAAGGAAGGTCCTGGGAGGCCCTACAGACCCAGGACAGCTTTTCAATATCTTCTGCAGCCCAGAGTCTCACCCTGTAAACTGTGCTGCCTGCTAACTCACCACCCCAAGTGGGGCCTCATCCTCAGGGATCCCCAGCCTCAGAGCACAGGGGATCAGGGACCCGAGGTGGGGTACATGATCTCAGAAGCTAAAGTCACATGAGAAAAGGGGACCCAACACTGTCTGAGCAACATGGTTCTAGTCACTCCCCTCCCCAGAAAACACTGTACTGGAAAGAAATGCACCAAAGCAACCATATCTTTAATATTAGAGAAATATAAACACAGGACTCTTCTTTCTTCTATTAATGCTCTGTGATGTGGCCATGTTTTTTATAATGAAAGTAATTTTAATAACGGTGATGCAATAGAGGAGAGGATCCCCTCCCCATAACCAAAGTGGGAAAGGGACTGGCAGGGAAGCCTTAGCCCTGAAATTGAAGCCTTAGCCTTGAAATTGAAGCCTTAGCCCTGCAGGCCCCCACACAGGCCCCTCCTATTGGTCTGATTTGTCTGTACTTCTATTCAACCCCTTTTTATTTGAGTGGCCCAGGAGCACTGCTAGAAACAAAAGGTCTCAGAACAGTTTCAGGCATTAGCAAACAGCTCTGCAACCTCCCACTTGGCAGGCTATACTAGTAACAACCATGGGGAGACCAGTTATTAAGCCGCTAAGTTGGTTCACTGCTGTTTAATCAACCATTGGATTTTACAGCCTCCCATCCTTTCGTCCTTATGATACCACTGGAAGATGACCATTGATTCCATCTTACAGACAAGACAGCTCAGGCTTAGTGATGCTAAGGGACATCACCCATGTGTAGGCAGCTAGGAAGGTGCTTCACGCATAGTGGGGCTAGAGAGAGATTACATGACGTGAGGAATCTCGGCTTGTTCACTGTCCAATCCACAGGTGCTCAGTAAATCGCTGCAGGATGCATACGACCATCCAACACCCTTCAGATGATAAAACAATAGAATCTGAGAGCTATGGCTGTAGCACTGCCGCTAAGTCACTGTCGGCTTTACGCAAGTCACTCACCTTGAGGGAGCTGAACAAGCATGCTGTGTTGGTCAGCGATGCCTAGCAACAACAGCAGCTTGGGCTCAAGAAGGAGCTTGTTAGAAATGCAGAGCCTGAGGCCCCACTCCAGACCTTGGGAGTTGGAATCCCTGGGATGATGGTATGATCTGGATCTGTGTCCCCTGTAAACCTCATGTTGAAACGTAATCTCCAATGTTGGAGGTGGGGCCGGTGGGAGGTGATTGGATCTCAGAGGCGTATCCCTCATGGCTTAGTGCTGTCCTTGCAATAGTGAGTTCTCATAAGATCTGGTTGTTGTAAAGTGGCACTCCCACCCAGCTCTCTCTCTTGCTCCCATTCTCACCAAGGGAGAAACCTGCTCCCTCTTCTCCTGCCATGATTGAAAGCTCCCTGAGGCCTCACCAGAAGCCAAGCAGATGCTTCCTTCTCAGATCACAGACCCATGAGCCAATTAAACCTCCTTTCTTTATCAATTACCCAGCCTCAGGTATGTCTTTACAGCAATGCAAGAATAGCCTAATACAGGTAGGATCCGGCTGCCAAGGTTAACCTGACCTCTGTGGGATTCTGACACATGCACACACAAACCCAAAAGCTTGAGAAGTGAGTGGCTTCTGTAAGCTGAGGTTTCCCTTTGCTGCCTCTGCAGGTGGATTTCGAAGATGTGATCGCCGAGCCCGTGGGTACCTACAGCTTTGATGGTGTGTGGAAGGTGAGCTACACCACCTTCACCGTCTCCAAGTACTGGTGCTACCGCCTGCTGTCCACGCTGCTGGGCGTCCCACTGGCCCTGCTCTGGGGCTTCCTGTTCGCCTGCATCTCCTTCTGCCACATCTGGGCGGTAGTGCCGTGCATTAAGAGCTACCTGATCGAGATCCAGTGCATCAGCCACATCTACTCGCTCTGCATCCGCACCTTCTGCAACCCGCTCTTCGCAGCCCTGGGCCAGGTCTGCAGCAGCATCAAGGTGGTGCTGCGGAAGGAAGTCTAAAGCCAGGTGGGGTAATGGGGGTGGCAGGGCAGGGGGCGTTGGGCCAGGCTGGTCCCCAAGGGACTTTTTCACAGGGGCTGCTGGTGAGCTCTTTTTCTTTAAGGAATGCTCCATACCCACCATGCTGGAGCACACAGTATAGGGAAGCCAGAAAGAAAAGACAGCCCAGCCAGCCACAGAAGCACAGTGGCCCTTTGCTCTCCCCTAGCCCCACCATGATGCCCCCATGCCCAGGTGTGAGGGAAGATCGTTTGCTAAGAGGCAGCTACTGCAAGTCTTTGCATTCACTTGTACTGTAACAACATAAAACAGCACGCGGTTCCCACCCAGAGCCAACCTGTCCACGTGCACCCAGGAAAGTGACCAGTGACCATTGGCATTAGGAGGGTGGCTCCAATAAAGGGTTTTGGCTGCATTTGGGGAATGCTGCATTTTGTTTGTGTCTGTAAAACTGATTTGTGTCCTGACCAGCTCTGAAAAGTGTACTTCACTGCCCTGAAACAGACACTGGAAAAGCTGGTTGTCTCTTCACTTGGCCAAATCCAAGGAGCCAAAGAGACTTTTTCTTCAGATTCTATTGCTTGCTGGGATTGTACATGTTCCTTGAGAGACCATGTTCAAGTGACTTCTGCTGCCCAAGCCCAATAATGGGCACCAATGGAAGAAAATGGCCCCTGGGCTGGCAGGGGCAGTGACCCTCCCAGGGTACCACTGAGGGCAGGACCTGGGTTCAAGCCTCCCTGAACTTCCTCTTTGGCTAACCAAGCCCCTGAAATGCCCAGCACTGACACTTGACATGAGAATACCTTCGGCCCCAAGAGATGTGACGAAGGTACAAGGTCTAATTTGTGTGTGTGAACTCACTATGGAAATAAAATACAATAGAAAGAGCATGTATGTACCACTTCCTCCCTCCTCAAACACACACACACACACACACACACACACACACACACACACACACACAGTGCCTTTATCTTCTTTAGGGCTGTCTTTTCCAAGTGTGCTATCCAGAATTTAGCCCTTAAAAAAGATGGGTTAGCATCTGTGGTCCAGTTTTTTTGGAAACGCTGTATATTTCTCTCAGAGATGTTCAATAGACATTGACACATTAAAGGCTCTGACAAGTCCTACAGTAGAGAAACCTATCTAGACCATTATACCCCCAGTCCTAACTGACTGTTTTTCTTTTCATGCAACACCCAGTTAGGTCTCATATAACTAAGGTTCCACAGCATGTGACAGGGTTTTGGAGACATTATTCATGCCTGGCCACGAGCCCAGTGGTCTTGGGAGGCAGTGTGGTGGAGTGGACTGCACACAGCTTGGGAACTAGGATGCGGGCAGCCTTGGTTCTAGTCCTGCTTCTGCTCCTAGTTGCCTTCTCTGCCTCAATTTTATCATCCACAAAATGATCTCTAATGTGCATTTTGCCTCCAAAATCTTACCTGATTTTGGTTTTCTCCTAACATCTTATGTAAAATTCAAACACAGGAAAAAGTTGAACAGCTACATACCCACGTAGGCTAAATCATTAACATTTTCCTACCCCAGCTTTCTCACATCCCTACCCATCTATCCGCCCTCTATCCATCCCACCAATCTCATCTTTATGCATGTTTAAATACGTTGCAGATTATCAGTACATTTTACCCCAAACACTTCATCATTCGTCCCTTGTTTCTGCAGATGAGAAAGTTACAGTCCAGAGAAGTCAGCAACGTCGCCAAAAGGCACCCACCTAGCCAGCATTATCGCTGTGGCTCCAGCCTGCCGCCTGTGCTCTCCCTTGGGGCTCTTCCACATTGTCCGGGGTCTCGGCAGGCCCAGGCTCCCCCCGCTGAAAAGAATTAAGGCTGATGTTACTTACGTCCTCCTCAAAGGGCCTGCCCTTTCAAATGTCTCTTGAAATCACAAAGCCACCCATTTCAGACTTGGAATCTTGGGTTATGTAGATAATTTGCCATCTTGGTATTTGCTATAACTAGATTTGACGATGACTCCAATTTTTCAACCTCACTCTTTCTCTAAGGGCAGACTATGGTATATGCTTAATGACCCACAAAGTTCACAGAACTGGAGACAGGACACATATCTGAGATGCATGGGTGTCTGAGGAGCTCTTCTCCCTCCAGGAACCCCCTTGAGAAGTAGCAGGCAGATAATCGCATTGGGGGTGTGGTGAGAATGGGCACAAGGCAGGAGGCTGAAGTTCCCATTCCCTCTCATGAGATACATGGGGAACACCAGGGACTCGTGTTTGAAATGCAGGTTCCAAGGCTCTAACTCCAGAGATTGATTCAGTAGTGGAGCCCAGAAATCTGCATTTTAACACAAATTCATCTGTGATGCTGCAGACAGCTCCCAAAACCACTTTCAAGAAATATCTGTTAGGGTCCCTTCAAGGTAACAGTCTAGAATCCTATTATCTCCAGAGTTCAACTGTTTGTGTTTCAGAGAAGGTTCAGGGACATCATACATGATGTTTGTTCCTGAATCTTAGAGCATCTTCCCACAGAACTCTGACACATGAGTGCACCTCTGATTCTAGAGAATGGGACCAGGGCCCCCTTCCATCCCCTGCCCAGCCCATGCACCTGTGCAATATTCAGGCCAACAGCTCTGAAGCCCTGCAGGGATCTATAATCTACAAACCACCAGTTTCAGTCACCATTCTTGGGAGGAAGAACAGGGGCAAAGTAATGTATTGAAACCAATGTTTATTAAGAGCACTCTCTATCAAGCCGCTAATGAAGCAGACACCTTGTGATCAGCCATGCCATTCATCAACTGGCACAGTTACACAGGGGTGCCAGAGCAGGTCACCACAGTAGAACAAAATCAAGGTGTTCACATTTTGCCTTAAGTGGCATTTCATTGCTGTTGAATACAAAAGGGTTAAACACTTTGAAACCAGGATTGTCTTAAAAGACAGCCTGCATTGTCCCCTTACATTTCCTGAAGCAGCAACACATAGACTCAACCCAAAAGGAGTCCAAAGTATGTGCCAGATTCATTATTTCAGTGCCTAAAGAAATAAGGCTCAGAGTCTCCACATTCGCTTTTGATGATCAGAGCCATGAAACATTCCAGAAGACAATCTGCAGCTCCCACTTCCTGGCAACCCCGGCCATGCATATGGTTGTAAGCAAGTCTGAAACTGCAGAGAAATGTGGTTGGCAGACAGCCATGAGTTCTGGGGAGGAGGCCACAAACGACTGAGCCCAAGGTAGCGTCCTGAACCCCTGCGCTCATTCTTCTAGGCTTTAGTTGGGGAAAGACTAAGAAATGGTGAAAATATTCTGAAGGAGATGGGTGGGGGGTGAGAGTGTATATCCAGTGGGGCTGTTGAAATTGAGTATCACTTATTTGCCATAAAACAGATTCCCGTGCCATAATGAGACCCAACGTACCAGCCAGAGCTTTCACATGAAGAGAGTGACAAAGCATCACACTCGTTTCAGATGCCCAAGAATCCCACAACTCCAGGGTTCTCAGGAATGCTGTGCCCCTGGTCAGAAAATCTACTGTGAGTTGCTGTCCCTTTGATCCCTAGTGGTTTCTGTTGACTCCTAGGATGGCAACTTTTCCGGGAACAGTAGAGACCTGGAGCATCTCTGGCAGGTGGGCAGCGAGGCATGGATGCTAACAGACCCCACTACTACTCTGGTGCATTTGCACCCAGAGCACACCAGTGGTCCAGTACATGGGCACTGGAGGCCCGGACCATCATCCTGTTAGCTTCCCAAAGATCAAAGATTGGCTAGTGTTGATGGTCTTTATGCATGTCCCAGCCAACACTGAACAAAGCTTTGCAGTCCAAAGATGATACGATCTTCCATCTCCGAGTAATGCTAAAGATCTTGTGCTAAATCCTTAGACTTTGAACATTGACATTTCAGTGCATGCCTCTCTTCTCCCAAAACATTTAGACAATGCTAGCTCATTCATGTGTGTGTGTGTTGGGGGGACCAGGGTGAGGGGGCTATGTGGCTACTAAAGCATGCAGGAAGAAGAAACTGTGTTTTAAAGAGAGAGACAGGATCTGTGGCCTTTGAGATGTTCCTGCTGTATCCCAGTAATTCCAAAGATGTGTTTGGAAACTTAAAAGGTGCCCCACTGTGCACTGAACTGGTCAATCCCTGACAGTAAACTTCTGATCAATACTGTCCTGTATTTAGTGACTAAAGGTATTTCTTAGAAGTGGTCATGTTCTAACCTCAAGGCTGAGAGGACATTTGAGAACAAGTTCACTAGGTAAGAAAAATCTCTGACACCCCTAGTGAATTGCTATTTTAAATAAAACATAACCACGTGTAGCTACAAGGCATCATTTATGCCTTCAGTAAAGCAAGGTAGGGATATTATCACTGCTGTTACTTTTCACCAAAGAGAGACATGATCTCTTGGAGTAAAACCAATTAAGAAAACCATGAGATCCCTCTCAAGCAGTGAGCCACATAGAGAAACAAAAGCTCTGGGAGGCAAGAGATTCCAAGGAATTCATCCATCAAGCTGGCCTTCTCTGAATTTATCTGTTGAACATTTTTTATTTTTTTAAAGTTCATTGGTTTTTAGTACATTCCCAAAATCGTGCACCATCACCACTAATTTCAGAACATTTTCATCACCCAAAAATAGAAACTCCCATACCTTTTGTAGTCACGCCTTATCTCCCACAGCCTCCAGGCCCTGGCAAACACTAACCTATATTCTGTCTCTATAGATTTGTCCATTTTAGACACTGCATTTCAATGGAATCAGACAATACGTGGGCTTTTGCAACTGCCTTCTTTTACTTCATGTAATGTTTTCAAGGTTCATGCATGTTGTAGCACGTGTCAGCACTTCATTGCTTTTTAGAGTCAAATAACGTTTCATTGTATGGATATACCACATTTTATTTCCCATTCACCAGTTGATAGACATCTGGGTTGTTTCCACTTTTTGGCTATTACAAACAATGTTGCTATGAATATCGGCGTACAAGTTTTTGTGTGTATGTACGTTTTCATTTCTCTTGCGTAAATGCCTAGGAGTGGCATTCCTGGGTCATATGGTCACTCTACATTTAACTTTTTGAGGTACTGCCAAACTGTTTTTCAAAGCAGGTGCACCATTTACATTCCCACCAACAATTTACATTTCACCAGTTTCTCTGCACCCTCACCAGCACTTGCTCTTGTCCATCTTTTTATTGTAGCCATCCTAGTGATTGTAAAGTGGAATCTCATTGTGGTTTTGACTTGCATTTCCCAATGAATAATAATGTTGAGCATTTTTTCATGTGCTTCTTAGCCATTTGCATATCTTCGTTGGAGAAATGTCTGTTCAGATCTTTAGGCCATTTTAAAAATTGACTTATTTTTCTCCTCATTATTATGTTATAAGAGTTATTTATATATTTCGGATACAAGTTATTTATATATTCCAGATATATAGATGACTTGCAAATATTTTCTCCCATTCTGCAGGTTGTCTTTTCACTTTCTTCATAGGGTCTTTTGAATTACAAAAGCTTCAAATCTTAATTAAATCCAATTTACCTATTTTTTTCATTGGTTGCTTGTGTCTTTGGGGTCATATCTAAGAAACTGCTGGCTAATTCAAGGTTACAAAAATCTATGCCTACATTTCTTTCTTAGATTTTATACTTTCGGCTCTTATATTTAGGTCTTGGATGCATTTTGAGTTGATTTTTGCACATGGTATGAGTAAAGGTCCAACCTCATTCTTTTGCACATGCATATCATTGTCCCAGTGCCATTAGTTGAAAAGACTCTTCTTTCTCTATTGAATTGTCTTGGGAATCTTGTCAAAAATCAATTGACCATAAGTACAAGTGTTCATATCTGTACTCTTCATTCTACTCCATATGTCTGTTCTTAAGCCAGTAACACACTGCTCTGATTACTGTACCTTTATCATAAATTATGAAATCAGGAAGTGTGAATCCACCAACTTTGTTCTTTTTCAAGGCTTATTTGGCTATTCTGGATCCCTTGTATTTCTTTATGAATTTTGGGACTAGCTTATCCATTTCTGCAGAGAAGCTAGCTACGATTTTCATAAGGATTGCAGCGAATCTGTGTATCAGTTAGGATGGTATTGCCATCTTAACAATACTAAGTCTGATCCATGAACACAGGATGTCTTTCCATTTATTTAAGCCTTCTTTAATTTCTTTCAAATTTTGTAGTTTTCCGTCTTGCACTTGTTTTGTTAAATTGATTCCTATTTTATTCTTTCTGATTCTAATACAAATGGGATTATTAACTTCATTTTCATATTGTTTGTTGCTAGTATAAGGATATGCAATTCATTTTTGTATACTGGTCTTGTATCTTGCAACCTTGTGGAACTTGCTTATTAGTTCTAATAGCTCTGTGTGTGTGTGTGTGTGTGTGTGTGTGTGTGTGTGTGTGAATTTCTACATACAAAACAGTGTCGCCTGCAAACAGTTTTATTTCTTCTTTTCCAATCTGGATGCATTATTTCTTTTTCTTTCCCAACTGCTTCTTAAACATTAGCTTTTTAAACATTTTTTACCCAAGTTCTAATTGATCTGCTATGCCAGATAGTATTATAAGGTAATCCCCTACTCCTTGGGATATCCTCTCACAAGTTCGTCCCCAAGGACCCCAGCACTTGTCCACTCAAAGGCAAATGCACTTTGAAGTCAGGAGGATCTCAGCACCACCCTCATCTAAGTTCCCATCCCCAATCCTTACCCCAAGTCCAGAACACTGGACTTCCTGACCCAATTGGTCACCAATCTTCTATTTACCACTTTTCACAATAGCCCAGAATAAAGAAGTAAAAAGATACTGGAGTGAAATTACAGGTTCAGGGGAAAAAACAACCCACCCACTCCCCAGGGTAGCAGTGCGGTCAGGGTGGTAGAAGTACGTGCAAGAGGCCAGGGGGTTGTCTGATGGCTGAGTCCCCTATCATCTTCCACCATGGAGGCTACTCTCCACCCGACTGTAGCCACCCCAAAGAGTGGAGTGATACAAACTGATAGGTACCTTAGACAAATCCATACGCCACCACCCAGAGGCAGACCACCCATGCCAGCACAGCCCAAGCCTCAGGAGGCAGCCCTGGCCCTGGCTGGTGGGTCACGCCATGGATGGCTGGGAGCAGCTCCTCTGGCTGGAACTGCGGTGGCTCAGGACAAAGGAGGACGAGTTGCTCTTCTTGCTGGCACTTGTCTCTCCCAGGCGGTTGCCCTTCAGGTAGCTGGAGGAGCAGCACAGGAAGTGCTGCACAAGTTCATGGAAGAGGTGGCCTGTGAACAGCATGTAGATCCAGGGGTTACAGCAGCTGTTGAGGCTGGCCAGGAGCATGACGATGATGAAGGCTGAGGCTGAGCAGGCAGGGGCAGGAGAAAGGAGAAAGGGGCATTAATTAATACTAGAGCCACTTCAGACCTATTTGACTTAAACACCATTTCCTGAGCAACAGCCTTGTCCAAGTATCACATCCCAAATCACAGGATGAGGTACTAACAAGGCAAAGTTTGTCTTCTGTGCCCTTGATCACGTCGGGGTCACAACCTGAGACATGGGTCCCACCGCTGTGGAAGTCTGACCTGCAGACCCTGACTCAACAACGGATGAATGAATGCTCTCTCACACCATTACAGTGTTTCAAGTGGGCTAGGGCTGGCCATTGGCTGCTTTCAGAGGGCAAAATGAAACCAATCGACCCAGACCCTCTGTCCATCTACACTTTTATTCCTAATAGAGGTTCCAAGTTAACACACTTGTGGATAATTAACATGGTTAAGAGAATGGTTTTAAGACTGACAAAAGCTTTAGGTTTCAGGGGCCCAGAGTAAGTGCTATTAACAGGTAATTCCCCTTTGATCTTCCGGGAGAGGCCACCCAGCATAATATTAACATAAGTAAACAGTTGGAGTGGAGACTAATGGGTGTCGGTAAGGCCTTTGATCATCTCTATCTCTCCCTAACTTAATGGACTGGCCAGCCGCCTTTGGCCTGCCCCAATAAAACCTTTTGGCCTTCCAAAAGGTTTGATACTAATCTATAACTTTTCCTAATGTATCTTTAATATTTTCTGTGATATTTTGCCAACCACCCCGAGTGAATCTCAACAGTCTTCCTTCTTCATCTCTTATCCTGGACATGCCCTCGGCTGTCCTCCGAACCCTCCCCACCAGGCTCAGCCCAGCCCTGGAACTGTCCCTGCCTTTCTCTCACCAGAAGCTTTCTGGCCATCTACCTCCCTCAGCAAAAGCTGTATCCATCACAGCCACCTGTATCATGCATCACTCACCCAACCAGTATTGAGCACCTACAACCTAGAGCAGGCGTCCCCAAACTTTTTACACAGGGGGCCAGTTCACTGTCCCTCAGACCGTTGGAGGGCCGCCACATACTGTGCTCCTCTCACTGACCACCAATGAAAGAGGTGCCCCTTCCTGAAGTGCGGCGGGGAGCTGCATGCAGCCCGTGGGCCATAGTTTGGGGACACGTGACCTAGAGTGTCTATGAGCACAGCACCCAGAAGCTGCCACACCTAGTTTGCATTCTAGCCTCACCAGAGCTTAGTTACTTGAAGTCCCCAAGAAGCTTTGGTTTCCTAATCTTTAAATGGGCATAAGGAGATTCCCCAAACCTCTGGGGATTGCTGCAAGGATTAAAGAGTGCCTGGTACACAGTGGGAGCCCAATAAATGGTGACTGCTATCACGACCATGTGCCGGGCAAATCAAATAAAATGATAAACACCGTGATGCAGGCATCTTGTGGGTTACGTGGGCAAAGGAAGGGGGTGCCACTCTAAGAAAGTAATGGCCGGCCCCACAAATGGGGCATGTGAGCTGATTCCTGAAGATGCCTATGGTTTTTCCAGGCAGGGCAGGGAAGAACAGTGCTCCAGGAAGAAGGAACGGCACCAGCAAAGGTGTGGCAGCAAGAAAGGGTATGACATCTTCACAGCTGATCAACTGAGAGAGTCTCCATGAAGCTATGCCTGAGAGCACAGCTTCAGCATGACAATAAGACTCAGGTAGGGGGAAAAAAGTGACATGAAAGTTATCTGAAGCACTCTGTAAAAGCTATTACACTGAGGACTCATGGAGTTGCAAGCAAAATTAATGATTAGAAATCAGCTTTGAAACATTGCCTGTCACAAACTGAAACTTCAAGGTGGAAGAAAAAAAAATCCTAATTCTAGGTACTTCCAAGCACGGGGATAAAAATCTGGCTTCTTTCAATGGCCTTAGATCTGAACAACCAGACATCTCTTGCTGGCAAACAAGGCCAGGCAACATCACCAGAAACCCACAAGGAAAACAACTAAGAATTCTGTTCAGCCACCTCCTTGTGTGTGAAGGCAACTGCAAGAAGGCTGAGAAAATCCACTAGTCTTCTTTCTGTCTGTTCTGCAAAATTTTTTGACAAATAAGAGTTCAAGAACTAAATCCAGGGAAGGACTCTTCACTGGGGGTGCTAGAGAGGTACACAAGATAAATGTGGCCGCTGAAGAGAACAGAGACGTTTGTCAGCAAAGTCTTCTGGCACCAAGGGGAGAAGAGCAGTTGGTTGTTAGTAAATCTACATGATTTACTCTCTGCACCAATTAATTGGTGCAAGTCACCCTGTGTTCATACATAAAAGTAATGAAGTCTGATTCCTTTTAAAAACAGGTTAGCATCCTAACAGATCAGGTTGGTTCCAATTAGTGAATCCTGTCCATTCCAAAGCCAAGATTAGGCAATCTGCCTAATGGTATGATTTGAGGGACAGAGAGCAACTTCCCTATTCCCAAAACAAATGTGGTCCACCACTCAGAGTAAACACTGCCCATTCTCCATTTTTGAAATCCAAGTGTACCTGGGAGGGGAAAGACACCTCCTATCAGATCCCGATCCTTCCCAACAGAAGTGTCTCCTGGTCTAGACCAGGGGCCAGTAAACTCCAGCCCAAAAAACCCTGCCTACTGCCTGTTTTTGTAAATAAAGTTTTATTGGAAGACAGCCCCACCCATTCATTCACATATTGTCTATGGCTGCTTTTGCACTACAAGGGCAAAGTTTGAGTAGCTGTGACAAAGATCTTATACCCCACAAGCCTAAAATAGTTACTGTCAGGTCCTTTACAGAAAAATCCAGCCAATCCTTGATCTAGATGCCTGTAGGAGGCACAGATGTTTAAAAGCAGGTGGGAAAGGGTTGGGGAAGGCAAGGGGAAGCAGATCCACAGGGTAAGCTCAGATCAGCATGTCCCATACAGAAATTAGCAGAATTATACAGTTGGTGCCTTTGCTTTCAAGTTGCCCAAACCTGGACACAAATGCTTGGCTCTGCTGTTTTGCAGCTGTGTATTCCTGAGCAAGTCATTTAACCTCTCTCAACCTCAATTTCCCCATCTGTGGAATGGGAATAATAAAAGAGCTCTCCACAGAATTGTTGAGGGGTTTACTCATTTAGAGAGGATGCCAAGTACTGTTAATGATTCCTGGCACTCCATAAAAGTAAACAACTAATAGAGTTTAGCTATTGTCACTATTACTACATTGGTGTGTTAAGTGATCAATAAATACGTTGTTTTTCTAATCAATAAGAGAGCGAGCACCACAGGTGTGAAGCAAAGGAGCAATGCCGCTCCCTGGGCTAGTGTATGTCTTGGAATCTGAGGCAGCCCAGGGTGGGGATAAGCCCAGGACCCACTGGCTGAGCCTCTGGAAGCTTCAAGCCCATAGGGCAGTGTCTCTCCACAATGACTCTTGGGCCAGACTACATGCCAAGAAGGTCAGCTTATTTGTAGATTCTCATGCCAGCTCAAAAGGCCCCACCACCAGTGTAGCTTTCAGTGTAGGATCTGTCCTTGTCAGCCAGCCTGTAATTTCTGATGGGTTTAAATGGACCGACATCTTTGGGGAGGGCAGCTGGAATGACTGGGCTCCACAAGGTCAGCAGTGGACTGAAGCAATGAACTGGTACTAGGTAAGAATGCCCAAGTCAGCCTGGGCAACAAAGGGAGATCAACAAAAATTTAAAAACTAGCCAGGCGTGGTGGTGTGTGCCTGTACTCTCAGCTACTCAGGAGGCTGAGGTGGGGAATCACTTGTGCCCAGGAGATCAAGGCTATAAGCCCAGATTGCACCACTGCGCTTCATCCTGGGCAACAGAGCAAGAACCTCTCTCTTGAAAAAAAAAAAAAAAAAAAAAAAAAAAAAAAAAAAAAAAAAAAAAAAGAATGCCTTTGTTTCATTCTACCATACTTGGGGTCCTGGCTATATCTGCTCTCACCCTGCAGATTTCAGGTACAAGGTGGGTGATGAAACGCTAGGATCTGTTTTAGCTCCCATGCTAGCCTGGATGTTCCAGTTGGTTGAAGGAGCTGTCTCCCAATACCTGTAAAATTGTTCTCTCTCTTTTCTGCTCACCTGTTCCAGCATGAAGTCCTAGGGCCTCACCACCAGCCAGGTGTTCTTCCACATGGAAATCCCTCCTGTGTTACTACTGTCTTCCTTTAAAACACGCCCACCCACCGGGTAGTCCCCATGGGAACTGACTGAAAAAGCAAATCAGACCTGGTGACTGCCTTTGCATGGAGTCTAGCATGTTTTTAGTGTGCTCTGTGGTGCCCCTGGGTGCCCATTCCCCCAGCTGCCCAAAGCTGCCTGCCAAATGCTCACAGCTGCGCTCATCTCTGGGCATTGCCTTTGGCCAAAAGGAAATGCCACACCCAATGCTCAGTGCAAATTTGCAACGGCCAGCCCTCATGCCTTCATCCGGACTTCTCTGAAGAGCCATGGCTGCTCCCAAGCTCCCAGGAAGACTGGCCTCCCACCCCATTTCCACACAGTACAACTGCAGTGATATTGGCGCAGAGAGGAGGACCTACAAGTCCTCATGGGCCTGACCCAGAAAGGTCTGTTGCACAGTGAGCACCTTCTCCAGGGTCCCTGGAGAAAGGAAGGTGTTCACAGTGGGAGCCCCCTGGCCTACAGACACACTGAAGGACAGGGTGTGTAGGCAGGGAGCGCAAGCAGGGGATATGAGCAGAAACAGCCACACACCAAACACCAACATCCCTTGCTGGGCAATTCTGCCCCTGGGAGAATCAACTCTGCGTTTCTACTTGGCACCATGATTCACGGAGGGGTGGGAGGCAGAGGGCCACGTTCCATCCCTTCCAGCCTGGCTTTCCTCAAGCCCAAAGAACTTCCCTGTTCTGATTTCCCGGCATTCTCTCCACCCCAGCACTGAAACCCCAAATTATCCCAGAACAGCTGACGGGCAGCTGGCCACGGCCTCTCTGGGCTGTGCTGTTCCTGAGGCTACTGGCACGTTTCACATGACTCAAAGACATACGGCCGAGATTGGCTGGGTCAA